GCTCCCGACGCCCGAGAAAGCGGGGAGCCCCGGGCAGGGCCGCCTTGGCGGGGGCGCCGACCCCTCCGCCGCCCGCGCGCGTCCTGGCGGCCGCTCCGCGCCTATTTTTAGGCCTTTGGGGCCGGGTTAAGCAGGCCGGGGAGCGCAGTGGTTATAGAAGGCTCCGAATGCTGGCTTTGAACCGAAAGGTCGGCGACGGCTGCTTTCTTGGAGAAAGACGTGGCTCTCGGCTTCCGGAACCTCCGCAGCCCTGCGCTCCGGGCGGTAATACGCCTACCCCGAGTCACAGTCCACTTGGTGGCGTGGGCTGGGCTCGGTGCGAAGGCGCCAGCCAGGCGCCCACTTGTTGCAGAGGGTGCTATGCGGCTCCGGGGATCCGGGGCAGCTGGCCCTTCCCAAGTTGCAGAGGCCAAGTGTGGGAATTATTACAGCAACTGAAGTGCCAGTAAAACTGCCGGTGCAGTCCATAGCACGGCGTTTGTAGGAAGCTTGAACCCAACTAACTGCCTTTGGCCTTTCCTGTTCCTATGTATACTTTTCTAGGCTTAACTACATTTCCAAGTATTTATCCTATCTCTTGTTTGATCTCAGGGTGGGGGTGCGGGGAAGTCCATATTGTTTTTCTGCTTCGAGTACCAGTCCTTGTTAAAGGTTTCTCCATGGTGGTCTGTAATCCGGACCACTGGGGAGTTAGAATCACTCCTCATGTCCCAGCTTCTTTAAGGGATCCCCAGGACCAGCTTTGAAATGTTGCCCCTTTACAATTGAAGCAAGAGTGGACAGAGGCTGGTGGTTGTGACAAAGGACAGGTGCAGCTGGCCTATGACGCTTGGGGAAGCTACTGGCCGGCCAGGAGTGACGAATGCCCGCCAGGAGTGACGAATGCTCGGCTGTCTTTGTACAGTGTAGTAGCCAACGTGCCCTAGGAGAAAGGCCCACGCTGTGTAAGAAAATGCATCTCGGTTGCTGATGGGAGGGTAACCAGCCCACTGCACACACAACAGCTTCCTGGGCCATCTCTCCACGAAAGAGAGATCTACTGCCTCTTTCCTCAAGGTTGTAAAGTAAGCTAAGGGAGAATGAAGAAACTCAAGACAGAGAGAGTGACTTCATGACAAAATGTCCCAACTCTCTGATTGGGCAATAGTGCCCCAAGTGACTGACCCCTGCCAGAGCTTGATCCTAAATGTCCAGCACATTTGGATGTGCACCAATTTGCAGTGGTAAGATCCCCTTAGACATAGGATGTTTCCCATAATCATCCCAGGGAATTACAAGGAGACTACAGAAGGCTGAGAAGAGGGTCTTGGGAAGGTGGAACTTGTTCACTAAGGAGATTAATCCAAGGATTTGGGGGCTTCATCTGACATACTTTGGACATGTTGTAAGGAGAGACAGGTTCTTGGAGAGGGACATCATGCTTGGGAGGGTGGAGGGACAGTGCAGGAGGGGAAGACCCTCTATGAGGTGGATTGATTCAGTGACTGGGGTAATCAGGATGGGTGTGTCAGAGGCAGCGTGATTGGCACAGGATAGAGCAGGGTTTAGGGCTGTTGTACATAGGGTTCGCTATGAGTCGCAAACGACTTGAGGGCACATAACAATAACAACAACACTTGCCTTCTGTTGCGACCACAGAAAGATTACTGAGGTAGAGATTTGTGTGTGAGGGAGAGAAGTCCCACTGAGGAGGAGAGGGGATACCGTTTCCTTTTCTAGGGAAAAGAAGTCAAATTTGTTAGAAGTTGTGAGATGACCCCTAAACCCATAGACTAGCAATTGGTAACTTTAGAAGCATGGAAGAGGGAAGGCCTCCCTAAGAAGGTGATATTTGAACAAGGATTCCAAGTGGTCTGTGGAGAGGTGATGGGGCTGGGGCTAGGAGCAGGTTGAGGGGGCAAAGAGTTTAAAAATCTGAAGGTTGTGGAAAACTGAAGCCCTAGCTAGAATGAAGAACATTCCAGCTGTCGGACCATCCCAGTTCAGATCCACAGTGGGATTTGTGCTTGAATGAGGCTACTGCCCACAGCACCTTGTAGGAGAACCACAAAATACATTTCTTGATCTCTTGATTATCTGTTAATTACCCGTGGTTTACCCTCTAGGTATTAAGCTACTGTTTATTCCGAGAATCAAGCATGTCCAAATGCTAAATGGATTTAGTTTGTTTAGTTCATTCAGTCTCTTGAAAGTTGCCACAGACATTCTGGCTAAAGAATATTTTTTTGGATCACTCCTGAAGTGGATACCCCCCCCCCCAAAAAAAAAGGACTGCTGTTTTATTAATAGGACAAGTTCATCTCAGTGAAACGTCTTTGGATGAGTTACTTTTGAGAAAGGAGCTGTGGTGGCGTAACGGTTGAGCATTTGGCTGGTGACCAAGAGGGGAGCAGGTCAAACCCCTAAGGAGATCCGTGGAAGAAAGATCTGACAGAAAGCGCCTGTAGAGATCATAGCTCAGAAAACCCTGTCTTATTAAGAGTCAAAATTAACTCGACGGCACCTAACAACATTTTGAAAAAGGCCCTGGTTTGGCTTTTGCGTGTAGTAGATTCGGACACATCATGACTCATCGTCTGTCAGAGTAGAGCTGTATGGAGTAGGATTGCCAGCGGCTGGGTTTTGGAAGCAGATTGCCAAGCCTTTCTTCCGAGGCACATCTGGGTGGATACAAACCTCTAAGGCACCTTAGCCATTGATACAACCCAGGGATGTCTTTCCAGGTGGTGGGTGTTTAATGAGTGTGGTGTTTTTTTTCTTTGCATTAAGATCAGGCCTTTGTGACACTGACCACAAATGATGCCTACGCCAAAGGAGCCCTGGTCCTGGGCTCGTCTCTGAAACAGCACAGGACCACCCGGAGGCTGGCCGTCCTCATCACCCCGCAGGTCTCAGACTCGATGAGGTGAGAACCTCGCCGCCTGCTCCCTTTGCTTCCCTGTCCTCTGTTTCTGGCTTCAGCCTGCATTGAGGCCATGTGCTTTTCAGGGGTTGAGCACCAAGTGGACAGAAATGAGAGTTGCTGAATGAAGGAGTCCCAGGTCTAAAAACCTCTTCCTAGCTTTTGGGAAGACTTTCGAGCCAAGGTTTGTAGCTCCATTTTGGTCCCAACTAGGAGTGGAAGAAGGCCTCTCCCTAAGCAAGTCCTCTCAGGGCGATCTGAGTGGGTGTTTCAGCCCAGGTGTCCCTGGTTCAGTGCAGTCGCACATTACCTGCAGCCTTGTAACATAATACCATTCCAGAGTGCATCAGTGGCTATATTGTTTTCCTCCTCCTAACCAGGAAAAACACTGCAGGTGGCTTTTAAAGAAAAGTAATAGGGTGTCCCATTGCCAGATAACATTTGTAACATTTATTGGAGATACAGAAGACTGGAATCCAGTGGTGTGCTAGGTGACCTTCCCTAACCTCAACCAGGGGCACAAATTGTTTTGTTTTACTGGGATTATATTTTGAAGAATCTAGATTATCTACCAGGTCCCTTATAGTAACTCTGCCTATAGCAACTCTGGTGCTTTTTTTATTTTTTTAAATTCTCCTGGCATTCTTGTAAATTAAAAACACTTTTTAAAAAATTTTATTTTATTAATTTTAATGAACATTTACAGAGATTTTGGATTTACATTCATTCATTATTGCACCTTTCTCCCTGCCCCCTTCTCCTCCCTCCAGTTTGCTCCTCTCTTTGAAAAGGAAAAGAAAAATTCCTTCATTGGTATACAATCCCCCTACCCCCGCCATAAGTACACTGCACTATGCAAACTTAATTCTGGACTCTTGTGATAACCATAATACTCCGCTTTTTAAACTGTTCTCTCCCTCATCTGTTTCAATGCACTATACATCATTTATCCAGTTTTTCTCAGTCTTACCCCAACCCTGATGTCAGTCCCATTCTACAACAGTGACACCATGCAGTATTTGTCTTTTTGTGATTGAGAGATTTCACTCAGGATAATGTGCTCCAGGGTCACCCATTTTGAATAATATTGCATGAGTTCCTTGTTTTTCAATACAGAGTAGTAGTCCACTGAAAACACATTTTTGGTGAGTTCTGGTGGCTGCACTGCTCTTGAAGCTGCACTGCAATCCCAGAGGCACATGGTTCAAATCCACCAGATGTTCCGCTGAAGAAGGAGGGACAGTCTCCTCCTGTACCAGTCAGATTCAGTTTGACGGTACACACACACACACACACACACACACACACACACACAATTTAAAAGAAATTAAAACTCCAGCTTTTTTTAAAAAAAAACCAAACACACTTTTGTGACATTTTTCAGAAAAGTTGAGCATTTCATAAAAACGTGCACATGTCTCTCACCAAAGGACCAGGTTCCTAAGGAGTGGTTTAGGAAGCTGCCTTTGTCTGCCTCCCGCTGCCTGCTCCCTAATTTGTAGTCTGTTGGTGAGGATGTGTGTCAGCAGCCAGATCTAGGCTTGGATTTTCCACCCTGATTTACTGTGTAAATGGTGCTGCTGACCATTCTTCCCAAAAAGATTCAGTAAGTTTACTGTGCAAACATGAACGTGTTCTTGGACAGCCTTGGAGGTAGTGCTCGCTTTGTTTTGCATGTCTGATATGGTACTAAACTTCCACTGATGGTTTGTCAATTACACCTTTTTTGTTCTCTCACGATGAAGTTTAGTGTCTTACCTAAGTCCATCTCACTAATACCTCTCAAGAGGTTTCCAAATAAAGCCTCAGTTAATTTTGGGCATGGAGAAGTGTTTGCCTCCCCGGCCAAAATGAATGTCTCTCGTTATGCATAAACAGAGTGCTAACCACATAATAAATCCTGCCTATACTGGATTTTTTTTTAAAAAGCAACTGAATTGCCAAGCCCTTTAACTTCTTTTGGGACACACTACCTTAGCCATTTTTTTCCCCAGTCAATTACTTTAGCAAAAGTAATTAGGTAATAGACTTTATTGTAGATATTATAAGCATGTTAATCAACATCATCTATAAAAATATACAATAGTCAGCAACAGTTAATTCCAATAAAATAATATATGTGAATATATAGGGTTTGCCAAAACCCTTAGCCAATGTCAGTTGTGTTTTTGTAAGGATTTTCATACTCTGTTCTCTATTTGGTGACAAAATAGAAAACTTCTATAACATTAGTTTGAGACAAGAGCTTCATTTTCACCATTAACATCATTTTAGTGACACAAACTACCATTTTAGTCTCATAAACTGCATACATAAATAAGTTTTTCTGAAATAGGAAAAATGTATTCTGCCAAAGTAACTTGTCCCAGTGATTCTTAAACAGAGAATGTGTGAAAGCAGCCCCCTTGATGCTAAGCTGATTGGTCACTTGTTCTGAAAGAATGCTAAATGGTATGTTCTGGATTTTATCTCAACAGAAAAGCTTTAGAGATAGTCTTTGATGAGGTCATCAGTGTAGACGTCCTGGACAGCGGCGATTCTGCTCATCTAACCTTAATGAAGAGGCCTGAATTGGGTGTCACGTTAACAAAACTGCACTGCTGGGCACTCACTCAGTATTCCAAGTGTGTGTTTATGGATGCAGATACTCTGGTGAGTATGGCTCTGTGAACTGAAAAGATGTATGTAGTAATGGAGAACACGTTAAGCATTCCAGAAATGCCGTTAACACTTGAAGGGACAGGTTCTGATAAAACAAACCACCGTTGTAAAAGTGTTAGGTGATGGAGGGGAAGAGGTCCAGGCTGTCTGGGCTGAATAGCTAAGCCCAACAACAGACTCCCCTCACCCCCTTCCCCCAGTTTTCTTTCTTTCTTTTTTTTTTAATTAATTTTAATGAAAGTTTACAGAAACTTAGGGTTTCCATTCATTCATTGTTGCACTTTCCTCTCTGCCCACCCCCTGTCCCTCAATTCACTCTTCCCCTTGAAAAGGAAAAGAAAAACTCTTTCATTGTTATACAGTCCCTCCCCCAAGTCTACTCCACTGTGCAGCCTTCATTCTGGACTCTTGTCATGACAATAATACCTAATCATATATCCCTTTTAAACAGTTTCCTTCCTCATTTGTATCAATGTAGTGTATATCATTCATCCCCTCTTTCTCTGTCTTCCCTCAACTTCAATGGTCAGTCCCATTTTACAACAGTGGCCCTATGCAATACTTGTCCTTTTTGTGACTGAGATATTTCACTCAGCTTAGTGTCCTTCAAGATCATCCATTTTGTATAGTATTTCATGAGTTCCTTGTTTTTCAGTGCTGCATAGTATTCCATTATGTGGCTATACCAGAGCTGCCCTATCCATTCATTTGTTGATGGGCACTTGGGTTGTTTCCAGTTCTTTGCTATTGAGAACAAAGCAACAATAAACACGGGTGTGCATATATCTGCTTGGGTGACGGTTATGGTTTCTTTAGGGTAAATTCCCAGTAGTAGAATTCCTAGGTCGAATGGTATTTCTATTTGCAACTTTTTGAGAAAGCACCATACCATTTTACACTCCCACCAACAGTGAAGAAGGGTTCCAGTTTCTCCACAACCTCGCCAGCATTTGATGTTTGCTGTTCTGTTAAATTTTTCTATTCTTACTGGGGTGAAATGTTATCTCATAGTTGTTTTGATTTGCATGTCTCTTAGAGCTAGGGATTTTGAACATTTCTTCATGTGCTTGTTGGCCATCTGAATGTCCTCTTTGGTCAAGTGTTCATATCCTGTGCCCATTTTCCAATTGGGTTATTTATCTTGTTGTGGTGCCAGTTCTTTCTTTTTATTTTCTCCCTTTATTCCTTAATATTACAAGTGACAAATTGATTACTTGTCCATCTTTTGTGTTGAATAACTTAGGAAACCCCTAGAAGGGTATATGTCAGCAGGACATTTTTCTAATACCTTTCCCCCTTCTGCTTTGAATCAGGTCCTAGCCAATATTGATGAACTTTTTGAGAGAGAAGAATTTTCAGCAGCGCCAGACCCAGGGTGGCCTGACTGCTTCAACTCTGGAGTCTTTGTTTATCGACCTTCAGCTGAAACATATAATCAGCTATTACACAGTGCTTCTGAGAAGGGGAGTTTTGATGGTATGTATCTTTTCTCCTTATTCTGACAAGCTGTTAGTTGGTAACTTGTCTGAGTGGTTCTTCTGAAGGACGTGGTGGTCATGATGCCTGGTGTCTGGAAAATAGCAATATAATGAGATGTAGCATGAATGAAGTTGTACTTTCTTTTAGATATAGCCATGGTGTTTGAATGCATTACATGCATGTGTATAAACAGAGAGCAGTTTAAGATTTACTTAATAATCTTGGAACCTTGCCTTCATACATGGCCTTCTCTGTGTCAAATTTAGAGTGTGATATTACTCAAGAATTCAAAAGACAAATTAAAAAAGGTAACCTCTGTTTTTAAATTGGAGTAAGCTTAAGGGCCAAGAGGGCTTCTTAGCTATTGCCAACAGGAGTCCAAGCTCCTGAGACAAAGCTATATGAAATGTCCTCCAGGAGCACTAAATGATGCCTTTGTCTCAAGGAAAACCTGAAGGTAATTCTGAACATTTGACTTTTCCTCTCAGGGAAGGTTGCAAAGAAGGTGGAAGGCTTATGCAAGTAGCCTGTGTAGGACCTTCTCTAAAACTGCCCGTCACAAAATTTACAAGACAGCGAGTAATAAATGTTGGAGAGGATGTGGTGAGATAGGAACTCTTATATGTTGTTGGTGAGAGTGTAAAATAGTGTAGCCACTCTGGAAGGCAGTTTGGCATTTCCTCAAAAAGCTGAACATAAAAACCCCATATGATCCAGCTGTTCCGCTGCTTAGAATATACCCTGAGAAAATGAGAACTGAGGCTCAAACGCAGACTGGTACACCAATGTTCATAGCAGTGTTGTTCACTGTTGCAAGAACATGGAAACAGCCCAGATGTCCAACCACAATCTAATGGACTCGGAAATTATGATACATACACAGTTATGGTACAGCACACAGGAGCAATGATTTTGTAAATTACTACCTACTTGGGAGGGACTGGAGAACATTATGCTGAGTGAACTAAGTCAGTCCCATAAGGACAAATACTGTATAAAACTATTATTGTAGAATGAGTGTGAAGATCTAAAGGGGGAAGGGTGGACGCAGTGGCGCAGTGGGGTGAGGATGGGCGGGGAGTGGGGTGTTAATCACAGGATCGCACAGTTTGAAGAATTGGGAGGATGAAGGAAATGGGAATGATCCAGTGTATTGGAACTTTGTAAATAATCAATTTAAAATTTAAAAAAAAAGGAAAAAACCTGCCTGTCATGTAGCATGGCCTCTGCCAAGAAAAAGTAGAAAATTAACAAAGTCAGCATCCATTCTCTGTAACGCGTGAGTGCAGCTTTGTATATATATAGAAAGCTTCAGGAGATCGATACTTTAGGCCCTCTCAGCGTCTGGAGAATTTTGATCAAGTGAATCAGCATGTATGCTTCCATTTCATTTCATTTTAGTCTCTGTAATAATACATAAGCCAATTTTTTTAAACAACAACAAAAGGCAGGCAATTACTGTGCAACAGTAGTTCATTTTTCAAGTAATGTTGATGGGTTTCTCAAATAAAGGAAGGGCCTGCAGTGGACAGGAAGAAGATAAACCTTGTGAGCTGCCCCATAAGTGCCTGGCCACTAGCGCCGGACAACTGACCGCAGCCCAGGCCGGGGACCTGCGAGTGACCAGAGGCCTGAGTCCAGCAGCCAGCTCTCAGTGCAGGGCTTGCTTCCCACCGCACTTCCCTCCAAGGTTTGCAGTCATCGGATAGGTCTTGCGGAATTTTGAGACATAGCCCTTCTCAGTTGTTGCATAAGGTTCAGTTAGCTCTGCATTCAGATATGAGGATTTGTTCCCGTTTGCTCATTAGCAAGTTCAAAATCAGAATCTCAAGATGTTTTCATTAAAAAGAAAAATGTAAACGATCATTATATTGTTGAACTAAGAGGTTGAAAGTTTTAAGACATGTGTAGCTATGCATGATACTGGAACGCTGTTTTTGTTGTTTCTGTTCACAGACGTTGTTGTTGTTGTGTACCATTGAGTCAGAACCGACCCATAGCTCACCCTCCAGGATTTTCAGAGACAGTTAATTGCACAGGAGGAGATTACCCTTCCTTTTCCCACTGTTCAGAGATAGTTAACTCTAGTTATGACAGGATTTGAGATTTTCTGCTGTTTTGTGTACCAGGGAGGGAGTGTTTCTTTTACTTTTGAAAGAGAGGAGTGAACTGGGCGGGGTGGGGGGGTTGGGGGGGAGAAGTGCAGCAATGAATGAATGGAAATCCAAAATCTCTGTAAATGTTCGTTTAAATTATTTATAAAAAAGAGAAAATTATACTTTAAAAGGATGCGGAAGTTTAAAGTATCAGGCGTGTTTCAGTATTTGGTTAGATTGCACTCGTTATTGATAGCTAGGATATTTGACTGGTAGATCCATAGTTAAGAACGTGGGTGTGATGTATTCTCCAGAAACCGAGGTGGGTCCACTCTTGTACCCCTTTGGCTTAAGAAGCCCCATGCTTTGTCCACGGCTGCTGACCGAGAGGTCCATGGTTGAGGCTTGTTGCAGCTTGTTGCAGTCCATTTCTGTTAATGATGCCAGCCTTGAGAACCCCATGACACAGCTCTACTCTGCCCAGTCGGGTCACAGGGAGTTTGAATCAACTTGAAGGCACTAGACTTTCAGATGCATCCTGAGTTACCACAGTTGTTAGAGATGCTACTAGTGCATAGATGCTATTAGTGAGTCGATGCTGGGACTGCTCGCCTAGGGATGCTGTTAAACATCCTACAATGCACAGGGTGGCACCCAAACAAATAATTAACTGGGTCAAAATAACCATCGTGCCAATGCTGAACAGCCCCGGCTGTGCCGAGGCTCTAAAACAGGGAGCCATGATAAATGGCAGTGTCTGACAGGAAGAGCAGTCTTGTTTTAAGCACACTACTGTCAAGTGGAGTGCAGGCATGTAAATCTTTATGGGAAGAGGCTGCCCATCTTTCTTCCTTCTGTGGAGCAGCTGCTAGATTTGAACCACTGACCTTTTGGTTAGGATTATGATTTATCATGCATCTTACCACAAGGACTCCTGATAAACAACTGGAAGAAAATGAATTAATATCCTGAGTGCTCACTGTGGTCAGGACCAACTATAAGTTCTTCACTTAAAATTGAACTCCTACTGTTTTCCTTTCGTAGAAAGTTGTGTTAGCCTTTGGGCCTGCTGGACGTAAACTGTTTCCCCATGCTGTCTGTAATAAAACCGAGCACCTTTGCAGAAAAGGAAAAGGAGAGTGCTTTTAGTAGAAGCCCACTGTGTTTGTCTTAACCTTCCTGTCAGGGTGTAGTTTACTTCATCTCCTTTCATGTAATTCAGAGAAAGTGAATGTAATCATCTCGGAAACTTCGTATAACTTTTCTCAACATGAGTAAGTGAATCACCTTCTAATGTGGATCTGGAGCCTGCCAGCTACCTGAAAGCACTTGATTTTAGTTGCGAAAGGGGAATCCAGTTTCTGACCAAGTGTTAGATGTTATTGTTCAAAGGTAAGAATCATGTGCCGGGGAGCTGTGCCGGCCACATTTTCAGAATATGAAACAAACTAACTAGAAGCAAGCAACCTAGAGCATCTACCTTGTTCTCCAGTACAGTCAAGGTCGTTGTTAAAAAGCCTTGAACTTGAATGCACATGTGAAATGTGTTCAACTCAGAAGCAGTTTCTTTTTTTTTTTTTGGCAGGAAAACTGGCTTTATTAGGTCCCTAGTTCTCTTTCTCTTGCACAGTTTTGGTTCCCTGGAGCCGCCCAGTCCGACGAGCAGCAATGAGACCCACTTTCCAGCCAGCCGGGGCATCTCTGCGGGTGGTAGAGGGCTTTCCAGGGTGCTGGTGATTGCCACCTCCAAAAGGATGCTCCACTGGGTTCATGGCTACACCCCGTACACGTGGCCAGCAGTTCCTCTTTGCCTTATACTTGTGGTAGGTATGGCCTGCCTTCAGGATGGGCTTGTCAATGCGGCCACCACCAGCTACCACACCCACCACCGCTCTGTTGGCGGAAGAGATGACCTTCTTGGAGCCCGAGGGCAGCTTCATGCGGGTCTTCTTGTTCTCAGGGTTATGGGAAATGATGGTCGCGTAGTTTCCGGAGGCGCGTGCCAGCTTGCCCCTGTCCCCAGGTTTCTCCTCCAAGCAGCACACGATGGTACCCTCGGGCATGGTGCCCACTGGAAGCACATTACCGATGTTGAGCTGAGCTCTCTTGCCGCAGTACACAAACTGGCCTGTATGGATGCCCTCTGCTGCGATGAACAGCTCTGTCCGCTTCTTAAACCGGTATGGGTCGCGGAAGACCACCTTGGCGAGGGGGGCACCGTGGCCCGGGTCATGGATGATGTCCTTCACGATGCCCTTGATGTAGCCATGGCGCTCGGCGAAGTCCACGGCCTAAGCTGCGCGGCGCCCTTATGGTGCTTCACATGTGCGCGGAAAACAGAGCCGGCGCCCTTCCTCTGTCCACGGATTACACGGCCCATGGCAGCGTCTCCACACAAGCGTGGCCGAGAAAAGAAAGGAAAGCAGTTTCATTTCCAGCCAGAATCTGAACCACGGAGAGGTTCCCCCTGGGCCTGCCGGCACGTTCCATTATCCAGCGGCTGGGCTTCCCAGCAATGGCTTTCCTATACAGTGTTCTATTTACTGGCTAGTTGCTGGCCAACGACTGACTTTTCTCTGTTAACTGTTAGCTGCCATGGAGTCATGGCAACCCCATGCACAAGGAAACAAAACAGTACGGGTCCTGCACCACCCTGTGACCAGCCCTGGGTTGGACTGGGGTGAACCACAGAACTGTCAGAGGTTGTTGTCGTTGTTGATGGTAGGTACCATCACGTCCACCATGACTCACAGACACTGGGACAACCTTGCTCTATCTTGTGTCATCCTCACCATGTCCAACTCACTTGAGCCCATTGATACAATCACTGAATCCGTCTGTTTTCAAATAGAAATGGTCCGTTGAAAATGTGAATTTGTATGTACCCGAGAACTTAGAGAT